TCAGGCCAGGGCCTGGAGGGCAGAGCAACCAAATCCCATTTCTAAACCAAAAAGACAGGAGGCCTGCAGTGTGGAGACTGGCCCTGTGTCAGGTCTGGAAAGCCTGGCTAACTTTACAGGGTGCTGGGGTAGGCTTACACCCCTGAGGCCAGCCCCATGCTGGACAGCTGCCTCCTCAAAAGAGAGAGGGCCAGTAAAAACCCACTGTGACAGGCACTGCTGTGGCTGGCCTAGGGCAGCTCGGGTTACAGTTTATGTAATCTTCCAGGGCAGGGGCTGACACAGCCAACCTAAGGGCAAGGTTATGAAAAATGCATGCCCAGAGCCTTTGCATCCAAAAAAACCCAACCCACCCGCATTTTTCATGGCATGGTGTCCACTTTGTGAAAGAATGGGCTTTGAGAGCTCCAAGAGGCCACTCAGAGCAATTCCAGGCCTTGCCCCACAGGCCCAAGGGCCCAATAGGCCCCACCTTAAACATTCAGAGGATGCTCCTCAGGAACCCTGAGCTGGGGCACCTACGCTTCACAAGACATGGGAAGGTTCTCAGTAAAGAGCAGCTCAGAGTTCCCAAATCGCCAAGTAATTGCCTGGACATAGGGCCCTGCAGCCTCCACACTGCTTCTGCAAAGACACCAGGATCCAGAGAGACTGGGTCAGTACAACCCCAAAATTAGGAGTCAAGAGGGAGCCGCACTGATAGACACCTGCTCCAAGTGCCCACTTTCCAGCCTGGGCCACACTGTGCCACACTTAGATGCCACACAACAGGAAGTCACACTTCCAGCACGCAATCTGTACCACAGAGAGCCCCACCCCGCCGCCGCAAGCAGGCCACCCACACAGAGGATGACACTGGGCGGCCCCAGGGCTACCTAAGACTAGGCAGGAGCCGCGCAGGAACAAGGACACACACCAGGCGGACGAGCGCGCGCCAAGACTCACTTGCCCACCGCCCACTTGCAGCCAGCGCGTCCCTCACCTGCAGCTCGCACCAGGCCACCTCCACCCAGGTTTCCGTGTCCAGCCCTTTGTACACCGTCTTGAAGGAGCCGCGGCCCAGCTCGATGTCGAACTTGAGGAAGCGACCATCCAGGGAGGTGGCCACGGCCTTGAGGTCATCTTCATCGTCCTCCTCCTCCTCGGGCTCGTCCCGGCGTGCGCGCCCGGGCTCAGGCCTTGTCTCCGGCACCCCGGCGTCCTCTTTCCTTGCTGCCGCCGCCGCTGCCTCCTCTCCCGGGCCGCCGTCGGGGGCGGGCGCGGGGTCTAGGCCGGGCTCCTGCACAACCGTGGGCTCTGGGCCTGGGGCGCTGGGGGCGCTGGGCGGTGTGGCGAGAGCAGAGGGAGCAGGGGCGGCGGGGCGACCGCGGGCGCGCTCGGCAATGAGGCGGCGCGTCTTGCAGAGCAATAGCACGCGACGCTGCAGCGGCTGCGGAGGCTGAGCGCCTGGCGCCTCGGCCGCCTCCAGGCCCGGCGGCTCCTCCTGG